CATCTCCCAATTGAGAAGCACCAGTTTAGGCCTCTGTGAGGAAGGCGTTTCTAGGAAAAAAGTGGAGTGCTTTGCTAGAAATGATCTTTGTGGGGGTCCAGAGAACCAGGGGAGCAGGATGGGGGACTCTGTTTTCTTTTGGTTTTTCTGGCCAGCTGGATCATGAACACCTTCTTAGGGCTGTCTTGAACCTCCACAGCAACACTTTCATGAAGACTTTGAACAAGCATGTAGCTTCTAGGGCATATAATCCAAATCTTTAGACACACTGAATCTGGGAGAAATATGTGTGTGTGTGTGTGTGTTTAGGATAGATGCTGGGGGCGGGGGGGGGGGGGGGGGGCTATCCGGGCCTCACCTTTTCCTACAGCCTTGAGTATACATTGGCATTCCTGGCCTTGAAGTGGGAAATGGCTGGGCTTTTGTGCAACCTGTGCTGTTGAGGGTATCAGGGAGGGGAGAGCCTATTGTAAATGTTGGGGTGAGAGCTGGTCTCTATGATGCTGTGAGGCAGATTCTTATTCAGTAAGGGGCCCTATAGCTCTGCAGCCAGCTCTTCCTTCCAGCGCTGAGACCCAGCCAACCTGACTCCAAGCAACCTCTTCTTACCTGGATTTTCTGGAAACTGTAAAGTCCAGGAAAGTATGAATTTGGCAAAGTTTATTGAACATTTGGCATTATTACTATAATGATAATGGAAAATAATTTTAAAATAAGAATTTTACCACAATCCAGCCATCTCAACCAGATCTCCCTCTCTCCTTTCTCTCTCTCTCTTTTGAGTTTTCCTTCCAGACTGTGTCCACACACAACATAAATGAAGGAAGGTAAAGATTGAGAGAAACTGGTTAATTCACAAGGACAATTCGATCAAGCTTGAATATCAGTAATAAGAATAGAGTTAAATTGGGTAATCTTATGTATGTTTTTATCACAGGCATCCTTCGTCTCTCCTCTAGAGCAGGTTATAACCATTTAGTGCTAGCTAGGCACCTTTAGGAGTCAGAGTCTCCAGATGTATTAAGCTATAGGTCTTTGACAAAAAAAAAAAAAAAAAAAAATCACTGATTGAATGCTTACAGAGTGCTAATCACTCTGCAAATATTAATTCATTTAATCTGCAAAACAACTCTAGGAGCTATTATCATCATCATCCCCATCTCACAGGTGGGGAAACAGAAGCAAAGCCAGGTTCAGTTAGTTTCCCAAGGTCATCCAGGAGTGAACCCAGGCATTGGGACCAGAGTCCTGTTTTGGACTGCTAATCACTGCTGCCTCTCGTTAATGTGCTGGGTAGAGGAGGGAAGTTGGGGAGGTGGGCATCTCTGTGCTAAGCAGGTAGCCCCTGCTCTAGAAGCTGCACTCTGAGCTTCCGAGCCAGATTCCCTGTCAACAGTGGGTCTATTAATAGAAGCTTTTCTGATCATTGAAAGTAAGTTATGGGAAATGTAATGAATATCCCTGGTATTTACTACCTCAGGAACACAGGAGACATAATGAAGGAGGGAAGGTTGTAATTGTAGAAAAACATCAATTCTAGTAACAGAAATCAGTGGCAGCCAGAGACGTTCTCCCCAGGTTTCCGGCCCTGCTGGTGGCCCCTCCACCAGGCTCCATGCAGGCAGGAACCCCCCAGAGGAGGAAAGGGGCCTGTTATAGGAGTCATCAACCTGTCACCACGGTTAGGGTGAATATGGCTTCTGAGTTGGGGGGAGGGGGTGAAGGCTTAGTCTTTAGCACCACCAGCTGCAGTGAAGAGGGGAGGAGGTGGGGAGGGGGGTTGGGCAGGGGAGGCAGGAGGTGAAGCAGGCCTTCTCTACCTACAGCCCCAGAACAGACATGTATTGAGTCAGCCAGGCTCTGTGTTAGGCACCGCTTGGCATTTAACACCAGCAAGGTGGTACTTACCCTCAAGCAGCCTGAACAGTCTGTAAGTGTGTGCATATGTGGGTTTGTGTGTGTGAGAGAAAAATGAGGTAACACAACTATGTGAATGATGGCACTGAAGGCAGAGACAAGAACCCAGGGACAGAGCACTACGAACAGTGTGCTAGGAGGTGTGGGGCTGTGGGGCTGTCGTTGGGGCAGGCAGCAAGGAGGCAGGGGTGCTTGTCCTGGGCCCAGAGGGTGTCTCTGACCCTGACAGGCAGAGAGAAGGGGTTGTCTCAGGTGGAGATGCAAGGGGGATGTGGGAAACAAGCACAAACACAGTTTGGCTAAAGGGGGAGGTGGGGGCCTGGGGGAGGTGGAGGGGGTGGGGGGGTGTGTGTAAAGGAAGTGCTGTCCAGCAGCCACTAAGTTCTAGATGCTGTCCTTTGTAGGGATTATCTCATTTAACCCTCACAACACTCCTAGGAGTTGGGCTCTGTTGTCATTCCAATTTTACAGATGAGGAAACTGAGGCAGAGGGTAAGTGACTTGTGCAAGCTCCCACAGCTGGTTGGCAGAGGCCAGGATCTGTGTGACTAGGGAGCCCCCCTCTCAGCCACTCTGAACTGGGTCCATAGGTGAACTTGTGCAGTTAAGTCAAGGTAAAGGGGAGCCTAAGTGGGAGGCTTTGGTCTGTGATTCCCATAGAAAAAGCTGTATCGTTCTTAGATTTCTGTATTTCCCCCCTGCCACCATCACATCCTGCGGAGGATATCCAATAGAGATGAGAAACTGAGTCTTTTTTTCCTGGGCGGGTCAGATGGCACCGCCGCTCAGGGCAGGGGACCAGGGCGTGGAGGTGGAGGCCGAGACGGTCAAGACGCTGGTGGACTGACGGACCCAGAGCGCTAGAGATCCGGGGCTTGGAGCCGTTGGGGACCCCGCGGGCAGAGCTGCGGCGTGCCGATGCCTCGTCCCCGACCAGGCCGGGGCTGCGGGCTGCCAGAGGCGCCTCGGGCCGCCAGGCCTCCTCCGCCCGCCTCGCCTCACCAACGGCTGCGGACTGCCGGTGCGCGGCGGCGACATCGAAATGGGGCGGGGATCCCCTCTTTTTTGTCTCGGGGAGAGGGACGGAGGCTGCCGGCTCTGCCACTTAATAAACTGCGTGACCCGGGCAAAGTCCTGGGACTTCTAATGTGGGAGGAAAGGTTAATGACAACAGTAACAATACTCTCCACTTTTGCTTATCCCTCCTAATAGGATCAAATGAGATCATTTATTCAATGAACACGTATGTCATACCCACCTACTGTATGACAGGCAGTGCCCTAGGCTCTTTCATTCTAGGATATTTATTTTTTTATTTATGTCTTTTTGGATACATTCTATTGAAATATGTACAAAAAAGTGCATAAAACATCAGGTCAACAAAATATCACAAAGTGAACACTCCTGTATAATTAGCAACAGATCAAGAAACAGAAGGTAGCCAGCACCTCACTACCCTCCAAGCAGAGCCACTGACCTAATATCTAACACCAACAAATAGTTGTTTTCATTCAACAAATAAATGATGCTGTGAAAGAGCATTACACACAGCCAATATATTGCTATCAACAAGAGGCCCCATTATCTAAGTTAGCCACTGTTGAGCAGGGATGGGGTTTGTCTGAGTCCTTGCTTCTCCTGGATCTTGTCAAGGGACTGGAGACTTGGGTTCCCACCCCTATCCTCTCACAGAATACCCAGGCACCTCCTGTGACCTCTGGGCTTCTGCTGTGGGATGAGGGGGGGTTAGTGTTCACTATGAGGACACTTCCTTCTGTGACAAATGAGGGTGGCTTGGGTGTATCTCAGAAATTATAGGAGAGATTTGGAGCACGGCTGTGGCAGTATTTATTATTACTAAAACAAATACTAGTAATACATTCGTAATAATAACATATGTTTGAAGGTGAATGTCTCCTGAGGCTCAGCATAAATGTGGGGGCTTGGGCTCATCATAAACCCTTAGAGAGGTACTACTACTTTGGAGCTCGATGTGCTCAGAACAGGAGCAGCAATCAGGGATGGAGAAAATGATGGAATAGCAATTCTTTACATAGGAGTGGGAATTTACGACTGCCGACTGCCGAAGCTCTGGCCATTTCTCCATCTGTTTGATGGGGTTAATATGAATATTTCCTGGGTTTTGTTTTTGTGATGAGGGAAGGGTACAACACAAAGACGTTTGTTACTTTTGAAGTGCAGGGTAACTCTGGCTTTAGCTCTGGAGTCACACAGACTTAGATTTGAGTCCCCACTCTGCCACCTACTTGCTTTGTGACCTTGGGCAAGTCTGTTCACGTGTCGAAACTTAAGTTTCCTCGACTCAGAAATGGATATAATATCATCTAGATTGCCCATAAGGCTGTTGTGAAGTTTAAGTTCTATGATGCAAATAAAGCACTTAGCCCAGTGCCTAGAATAATGTAGGTGTAATAATAGTTAGCTTTAATTATATATTATCCATATTGTTATATAATGTAATTCTTATAGACATGGCAGAAATCAACCTGATTTTCTAGGTGATAAAACCGAAAGCATTGAACTGCTAAGGTATGCTACATCCAGGATGAACCTAAAAAATTAGACTAAGTGAGAGAAGTCAGACACATGAGACCACCTATTATTCCACCTGTCTAAAGTGTCCAGAAAAGGTAAATTTATAGAGACAGAAAGTAGATTAGCTGTTGCCTCAGGCTGGAAGTGGGAAGGGAGATTAACTGTAGAAGGGCATGAAGGATCTTAGTGGGAAGAATGAAAATGTTCTAAAACCGATTTATCGTGATGGTTGCACCGCTTCATAAAGCTACTAAAAATGATTGAATTGTACATCTGAAATGGGTGAGTGTTATGATGTATAAAACATATGTCAATAAGGTTGTTTAAGAAATTCAGAAAGTATCGCAGAAGAGGGAGAACAGAATCCAGGTTTCCGATTAGGTGTTCTTCAGACTACAGCACAATCATTTGCGTCCCACTAGATGTGAGAGACAAGGCAAACAGCAGGGGAAGAGCCACTGTTAGACTCTCCATTAAATAAGGGACGGACCTAAGATAATGTGGAGAATGTGGAGATGGCAGTGGAGAATGGGGGGGAGAATGGGGGAAGAATAAGCTTTTTGAGGGGGAGTAAAAGAGTAAGTAATAATTGTGGATAACTTTTATTAAACTTTGTATTCTAGAAAGCTTTATATTCTAAGGCTACATTTGTATTCTAAAGAGCTTAGTGCTCTAAAAGCTTTATATACATTGTCTTGTTTAAACTGCATAACATATTGTAAAATGAGTAGTGTTGTTCTCTCCATTTGAGCTAATGAAGTTGGAGCACAGAGGAGTTAAATAACTTGATCAAAGTCATAAGCTAATATTTGGCAAAGTCAGGACTGGGACCCAGGTAGTTTATTCCAGAGAACTTGCATTTTACACTGATGGTATTAATGCATATGAAAAGGAGAGGGATGTCAGGGGTCTGAGCAAAAATCCTGAGTTGTATGTGTGATCCTGTAATATCCCGAGATTTTTGCCTAAGGAAATATGATGTTTTATGTGTAAATAAGAACTACATCCGACATCTTGGTGGGGGTGGAATCTCTCAGCTTATTGCTACTGGGTGCCATTTTTCTGTATGAATATTTTGACATGCCAGACAACTCCATCATTTCTGCATGTTTGAAATGTGGCCATGCTCATTTCCCATGGTATGAACTGAGCTCATGTTTCTGGGAGCACACTCAGACTGATTTAAACAATCCCAGAATCCAGCCCATGTTCCAAGTCACATTCTCCTCTCCTAGCCACTTTCACAGTGTCCTTCCTTCAACTGAGAGTGCCCTTCCTACTCCAACTCCTGGAAATTTCCAGTCCCTGGAAATCCTGTGCGACTTTCCAATGCTATTTCCTCCATAAAGTATGAAGCCTTTCTGGATTAAATAGAAACAAAAACCGTGTTTTAAAGATCTGCTCTCATCATTTGCTGCATCGAGAGAGAATTTGTGCTGCTAGAGGACAAAACAGGCCACATCTACACAGAACTTGAGAAGTAATGTATTAAAAACTGTAATGCTTTCCAGGGCCAAAAAATACTGCACTTAATCTTTTCATTTGAATTGTATGAATAGATTAAGTGGAAGTAATATTCTCACTTCTTTCATTCTTTTGGTTTAAGGGATTTTGGAAACCATTTGCACATATGAAACAGGCAATTTGTATGTTGAAGTGAAAGGAATGCAAGTTTCTTGGATAGTGTACAACAGAGGTTGAAGGAAAAATTGCATAGTAATAAAAAGATCAGAGAGAAGTGGACAAGTGATAATAATCTCGTGGTCTCAGGATGAGGAAGGGGTGCAATTTTAAAAATCTTTATTGTTTCATGTGTGTGAAATACAAAACTAATGCATGCTTACTAAAAAAAAATCAAACTTCGAAGAAATGTATAAGCATGCCCAGTTAATGGTCCACATACACCCCTTCACCATCACCCCAAAGATAAATAATGTAATAGTTGGGTATATATTCCTCAAGATGTATGTGCATATGAAAATATACATATATTTCCTATATAATTATCCATGAAATAAAAAGTCACTAATCACATCCAAGTGAGTTGCAGACATTTACTTACAATTTCTTTCTACACTTTAACAAATGTGGAATCATACCATGTATACTGTTTTTTAGGGCTTACTCTTTCATTTAATGTAAGCTTGGACCTGTTTGTGAACACACAGATCTCCTTTTATGTAAAGTATTTCTTGACATGTATGCTCATTATTTATTTAACCATTTTATTTATATAATAATGGAGGGTTGGGTTATTTCTACTTTTTCATTATCACCAAAATGACGTAGCAAATACTTTTTTTGAATGCATTGTGTAGGAAAAGTTTCAAGAAGTGAGATTGTGGGAACAAACGGAATAACTGTAAATGCATTAAATGTCAAAATTGCCTCCAAAAAGGTTTAATCTGTGGGTTTTGATTTTGGTTTTGTTTTTACGTTTCACCGGTAGTGTGAGGATGTCGGTGTCCGTGTACCCTGTCGTCCGTGTTCCAAGTTCTTTTGCACAAACTGAATTATATAGAAAATAGGCTTCTTTCTTTGAACTCGACAGAGCTTCGCCTCCAGGGAGGGAAGGCTGGAATAGGTGAGGGGGCCTTGAAAGGAAGACCCCATGCCAGGGAGCACTGGTGTGTGTCTGAGGGGTGGGGCAGGTCGGAGCGAGGGTCCCTCGGGTATCGCGGTGTCTGCAGGGCTCCCGACAACTCAGAGGGGCCGGACCCCGCCGCCTGGAGCCCGAGGCTTTCTCAGCAGATGGAGAATGCATTTTTAAGCCCAGGCAGGAATGGGCTCGCCCAGCTCACTGTTCCCGAAGGGTCGGATTTCCTCCCAACAGATACGTACGGTTGGTTGGTTTTAGGGCGTTCCAGGCTGCAGCGCGCTCCCCGGGCTTGCTCGCGGGCGCGGCTGTGCGCGCCGCCGGGCCGCGGGAGCCCGCACCCCTGGCGCGGTGTTTGCAGAGGGCAGCCCGGCGCGTCTCGGGTTAGGAGGCAGGGGGACCCACCGGGCGACGCGTGAGCGCCCCGAGGGCTCGGTTCCTGCCCGCTACACTGTGCTTCTCTTTCTGCCCTCGACTGATGGGCCCACCTGTGGATAGAGGAAAATACTCCCAGGCTGACCTAGACTACTTCAGGTGCGCTGGGGAAACTGAGGCTGGAGTAGGAGCAGCAGAGCTGTGGAGCTCAGACAAGTCAGCCCAGCGTTGGCCAGGAGACCTGTGTCCTCCACGTGCGGGACGCGGCATCCACCCCTCCTCCCCCGCAGGTCCCCACCTAGTAGGTCTCTTCTTTGGGTCAGTGGACTGCAGAGGTCTCCAGTTGGCCTAGTAGGCCACTTCTGGCCTCGAGTCATTGGCCAATACAGAATTTTGTAACAATTCAAATTAGTTGCCAACATGTAAAAACACTTAAAAATGAAATATTTAGCAACACTATCAGCTGGAGCTGAGAAGCTGCCATCCCAGTCCTCTCAATTTCCTAACATGACCAAGGCCATATCTTTCATTGCTACTACCAGGCTGCTGCTGGAGTCACAGAATATCATGGTGGGAGCACCCTGAGTATTAGCTTCCTCTGATGCTTGATGCCGTGAATTGGCCAAGGTTACCCAGTGTGTGGCAGAGTTGAGACTGGTACTGAGGAGGGCCCAGAGGAGCCCTTGGATAAAGTGACTTATCCAAGGTCATCCAGCCAGGTGATGGGAGGGGCAGGACTAGAGCCAACTTTCTTGACCACTGGTCCATTCTCCTGGCTGCCCAGGGGCCTCAATAAAACACAGTCATTGGCCAAAGATGCTGCACATGACCCTGACCTGTGCTCTTGGGCTTTTGACCTAGTCATTGGTCAGATCATCTGCCTCCATCTACACCTATAGAATGGAGAGAATCCTTAAGGGCTGGCATGTGTCTTACTTTCAGCTTCCTGGTGCTGGGTTCTTTGCTAAGAAACTTCATAGAACTGCAGGCAGCTGTTCCTCATCCTCATGAACAGTCTGAAAGTAGACCTGGCCAGTACTATAGAAATTATACTTGAACATGCTAATCTGATCCCGTAGGAAACTGGTGCATCTAACCATCAGGGGAATTGTCCCAGACCTTCAAACTTGCCACCTATAGAGTAGATGGAGACCAGAGAAGTAACAGCCATGTCACATGGCCAGCCCTATCAGAATTCTGAGTTCCATTCCACATTTTCACTGGGGAGGTGGAAAAAATTGGCTAGACTAGCAGAGGGCCCACAGTGGTGGAGACTCCCTATCATAAAACCAGCACAGGGAAACACGGTGGATGGAAAATGAGTTGTTAGCGATAATAACTGGTGTGGGCAAGGAGAAATACTTATGAAATGGCTTATTTTACTTAGGCGCATTTCCCACCCAAGACTAAAGCACGTAAAACAGGCCAGAGACCCTGATGTTTCTCCACCAAGGAAATAAAAATGTGAGGCATTTATGTTGAGTCAGCATATGGAATATCTATCTGTAACTGTGTTAGCTCTTCAGACATATCCCCTTAGCTCCCCAGCAGTAGGTGAACAGCTTACAAAAGCCACACTTTTTTGTGAGAGAGGCTCAATTTGGATCTGAAATCAAGAAAGCTTAACAATACCCACTGTATATGAAATTACCACCCCATTTTACTAAGGTCCAAGATGTTTAATAGCTCACTTAAAGTCTCACAGCAAATTGAGAACAGAAATAGGAATAGGAGAGTTGACTGTTTTTCTCAATCGGTCTGAGAAAGGCTTCTTCCTTTTCATTCTATCTCCAAAGAAACTTCTCATTTGCCCTCTTGATAATCTTGCTCCAGTGTCTCACTTAGGTGATATCACTGGGCTGGTAAAATGGTTTTTTTAAAAAGTGGCATATTGTACGCCTAAAAATAACTATGTTGCTGTTTGTGCTCTAGCAACTTTTTCTTTGGTTCAGCTGCCTGCCTGGAAAAAGGTTTAGTGTAATCTGATGTTCTATGAAGATGTTGTATAATTCTCAGTGGAAAATCTCTCTCTCTCACGCACACACACACACCCCTTTATCACTACCCAGAAAAACTTTGCAAATTTACATTTTCTTATAGGTTTCTGTCTCTGTCTCTCTCTTTTTCATTTGGCAAACACTCCTTCATTTCTCATTCTCTTGTAGGCCTTTGGTCCTTATGGTGTGGTGCTCCATGATATCAGAGACCCAGGCTTCTTCCACCTTGTTGCTCTGCCATCTATAGGTCCAGGAGGTCCGTATACGAGCTCCAGGCAACAGGGCTGAGGAACAATAAAGAATACCATGCAAAAGGCTTGTACATTTCTGTCCTTTAAGGAAGGTTCCTGGAAACTGCCACATGACATTTCTGCTGACATTCTCTTGGGCCACAATTTAGTCCCAAGGCTACCCCTAGTTGCAAGGGAGGCAGAGGAATGTGGTCTTTAGACTTGAAAGCCATGTGCACAGCTGAAGATTGGAAATACTTTCATCATGAAAGAAGGGAGAGTTAGTTGTCTCTGTCACAGTAACTCTGTAACTAAGTGATTAGCACAGTGGAGGCCACAGAGTGGGACCTCAGTATATATTATTTAGATTGAGTTAAACCACAGTGTCTTTTGAGGATTCCTGGGATCTTCACCAGGAAGATTAATAACACCAGAATTTTCTGCTGGGCATAGGGACAAGAAGCTGGGAGTAGAAGCCAGTGAGGAGGAATCAAGTAGTTTTACTTTCCAAACTTGCTGTACCTTTAAGTTGGCTTTCTGGAGAAAGGAGAAATCTTTGTGATCTATTCCCTCCATGTCACAACATTCCATTGAGAACTGTGCCCAACATGGTGTCTTCCGTTCCATTTCTTATACTATTCACCTCCCACAGATACCAAAGAAATTCCCACACCACCAAAACTTGATATCTTCCCTCCAAATAGAAGAGACATTGACAGGAAGAGTCCACACTTGGCAATTTACAGTATTTGTGGCATTGCATCAGTGACGTTACCGTAAGGCACCGGGCGGGATGCTCCTCGGTTAACAATGTGAAGGAAGTGAGAGGTCTTGGAAGCCTACTCATCTGCTCTCTTCATTCCTTCAATCCTGTCTCCTTACCTGCACCCCAGTCCTCCTCTCACGCATTCCCATAACACTGGTAAAGTGTTGACGGGTCACTAAGGACTGAGCAGGTAAGGGCTTAAAATGAGGCTCATCCCAGAGGGCATACTCCTTAATAAGCAGAAGAAAACCTTTATGAGTCCAAAGATTAAAGGTGACAATAACAGGGAATAGGGTTCTAGTTGGGCCAATAACTACGTGGAGAAGGCAAGGCAGCTGTTATTCAACCCTGTTCAACAGGGGAGTAAACAGAAGCTCCTGACGGCTGAGCAACCTGTCCAAGCCCACTCGTGGTGAAGCCAGCATTGAAACTCAGGTCCGTTTGGCTCTAAATATAAGTTGCTGCCCACTGGTATATTTGCTCCTGGCATGAGGTTCTTGCTTCACTCATCTTCCTTGCATTCCACAAACTCACAGAACTCCCTTAGGCTCACATTCAGGGAAGTAACACACCACAATAGTAATAATTAACATTTGTTGAGGCTTACTATATGCTAGATGCTCTCCAAAGTGCTTTACAAATACCAACTCATTTATCATCATATGGCCCCATTTTGCAGATGAGGGAACTGAGACTTAAAGAAACTTTGTAACTTGCCCAGCATCACACAGCTAGTATAGTGAATGGCAGAGCTGGAATTAGCCAAGTCTAACTTGAGTCTGTGCAGTTAACTAGTGTGCTAAATTGCCACTGCAGTTAACAGGGAAACAGCGGCACCTTATTATTACTTATGGACCATCTGCCTATGCCTTTAATCTACCATAAAGGGAAAATTCCATTATCACACTAGGCATGTCTTGATATTCTTCTCACTCTTCCAGATCCCAGTGAATGGAGTTACCGAAAGGACACAGGATCCTGGATGCCATCTATGACGGCCCTGCAAAGGTGCCCACCAGATGGTTCTTTATTTCAGCTATGCATTGACCATCTCCACATTTGTTGAACTCCAGCAAATGCATGAATGTAGTTATTTATTTCTGGGAAATGTTAGCCACTATGTAGGGAGAGGAGCACAAACATATTATTGGTTCCCTGGGCCCCTTTCCCACTTCACTTCCCAGTCACTGCTAGTGCTCACTCACCAGGAGTATAATGTTGAGAAAGGAGAAGCACAGACACAGTAGGGTGAAGTAGGGGCAGAGCCAAGGTGGGACAGGAGGGAATGTGCATTTATTGAGTACCCACTGTAGGCCAGACACTGTGCTAGGCCCTTTCCCTTTAGCATCTCATTAAATCTCCAGAAGAGCTCTGAGAGGCAGACCTTGAACTGTCCCCCTCACAGCTGTATCTTAGACCTGACATCCTGCAGCTTAGGTCTGCTCACCATCACCGGCTCTCAAGTGCCAGGGCTGGGGTTCAAGCTCAGGTCTGTCTGGCTTCTAAGTGCACACTCTTACCTTGTCACCAACTGTCTTTGAAGTGCCAGAAATCTTGGCTGGGCAAGTTTGAGAGCACTCCTCCACCATTGATTCTGTTCTCATAGCAGTTACAGATCTTCTCTCTCTCCGAAGATCCTTGGGATCTGTCTGCCTCCCTCCTGGGCTTAAAATCCAGGCCTCACTGCACTCAGACCAGCTCCTTGCTGCTCCTCGCCTTCTGGTTCAGATGCTCTCAGAATCTACACCCACAGGGAAAGTGGTTTCGTGGCTATTGGAAGTCAAAGTTAATATTTACAAGCCTGAGTCTTCACCTGGCTCTCCCACTTACTACCTGTGTGAGCTCAGGCCAGTTGTCTAACCTCTTCAGGCCTGTTTTCTCATCTGTAAAATGGGGAGACCCATCTTTCCTTCTGAGGATGGCCGTGAGGCTTAGCTGAGAGCTCAATATCATGCTCCCAGCTTAGAGCCTGAGCACATGGGCTTTTTCTTTTTCCATTGCCAGTATTAGGAAAAGATGAGGGTCGTGATGGAGGGAAGTTTCTAATAAAAGGAAAATGGTTCAATTTTTGGAGGGAACCTGGCTGTTCAGTTGCAGATGGGCCATACTGTTGCCACTTGTGAAAGTGCAACCCCCTCCTCAGGGCCTAAGACCAGGGCAGAGTTACATCTGGATCTGGGTTCTTTTGGCCCTTTTCATGCCTATTTTTAAAACAGTGACCTTTCTTTTTTTTCCTAATTCTTTCCAAGAACTGTAAGGCTGACTCTAGAATAATTAGGAAAACATTCCAAAGTTGACATATTGCCAGTAATGGAAGTTATGAAACAACTTTAAGTCTATTATAATAAAAACTTGCATTAAACAGCACATTATGTTATGTATACTTGTAAATTGTCGGTAATTTTTTTCACAACTGTCTGCCTTTCCTTTGTGCGTGTCAGTACTGCCAGGCTTTAAGGATGGGGCGGGGGACTAAGAATAACTCATTCATTCTGTAGAATTCTCTACAACATTCATAGTCTTGCTTGCGAAGAGTCTGAGACTTTGGTCCATAATGTGGCTCTGCAACCTTGGTCAAGTCCTCTGAATTCTCCAGATCTTGGCTTCCTCACCTGGAAACTGGACAGAACAACTCTGGCCTCTTCTACTTCATTAGAGACCTGGGGAGGAGCAAACAAAATGCTGGACAGAGAAGGCCTTTAGAGCAGCCCGAACTAATTGAGAGATATCAGGATTAATCTGATGACCCATGAAGGCGCATCTGGAATGAGAATGAAAGAAAAAATAAGAAATAAAGAAGTCAAAAGGAGTAACAGTGTTCTTTGCTTTGCCATTCGTTAGCTGAGTGATTGGGGGGGGGGGCACTTAACCTCTCTGGGCCTCAGTTTCCTCATCAGTAAAATGCTGATTATATTAATAGCTGCTGTTCCTATTACACAGAATTATTATATCAAATGGGACAGTGGGTGTGAAAATGTTACCTGAATAAGAAAAGACCAACCGTTAATTATTAATACTAGTACTAAAGGCCTGGTGAGGCTGCAGTATTCTTCCAGGGCTTCAACGAGTTTAGCCACCTGTGGAAATGAAATCAGTCTTTTGAGCTCACAGGGCATGACCTGTTAGCTTCCACAGGCAGGGGTTGAATCCACTGAGTAGGAGCCTGCCTTCTGGCATCACACTGCTGGGATTCAAATCTCACCTCTGCCACTAAAGGGCTGTGTGGTCTTGAGTAAGCATGTAACGCCTCTTTGATTGCTTTCGCCATCTTATCTCATGGAGTTGTGAGGATTAAGTGAAATACTACATGCAAAGCATTTAGAATAGTACCTTGTACACAAAAGATATTTTTAGGTATCTTTATTCTTCATTAGCTGTAAATTTAACTTACTAAGTAGCATCCCAGAGTATGTTTGATACTAGAAAAATCTGATGAATGAAAAAACATCTATGTCTATAGTTGTGTGGCTCAGGTCTTTTTGACTCTTACTTACCAGCCACAGCAGATGCCTAAGTCACCATCTTGAGATATTGGAGAAGAAAACTACTGGTATATCTCAAGCCTAAGAGGCTGCAGGCAGGAGGTGCTGGTAGAACCCCCCTGGCTCCCGGCCCATAGTCCTTGGGGGAGGCCTATAGAAAGCCTATTTCTATGCCTCACTTTTCCTTGTCCCCAGTTACTCTCAAGGCCCTCTGTCCATTCTGTCTCTTCTCTAGCAGGATGGGGTACCCAGATATGGTACCCAGATACGGAAGATCTGACTCTGATTCCCTTTTCAGAGAGAAATCTCTGGGTAGGGCAAGTTTTCCACTCTGCTCCAGCTGCTGCAGTCCCAGAGCAGTTTCTAATCTGCTGTCGGGTGAGGCACGTCCTTAAGCAGTGGACAAATGAGTGAGGAGCTAAATTCGATGACATCACTAGGTGAAAAGTCAGTGTCCAAAGAGATACATGGAGGCAATAAAGTGGACAGAACAGGGGTGAATAAACATGGCTAACAGAGGCATAAAGCTCTGCGCCAGAGGTTTTTTTTTTTTTTTTTAAAAAAAAAAGGTACTAAAAAAGCTATTCCAGGCATAGTGGAGTATCATGAGAACTTAGAAACCAGGGGGATGGAATCCATACCGTGGCAGTTGTTAAACCGGAGTGTGCATCAAAATTGCTTGGAGGGTTGTCAAAACACAGATTGCTGGGGCCCTCTCCAGAGTGTCTAATTCAATAAGCCTGGAGTGGGGCCCGAGAATGTACATTTCTAGCAGGTTCCTAGTGATGCAGGGACCACACTTCAAGAAACACTGTCACAGGGAATCTGAGAAGAGCTGCTGTGAGGCTATGTGGGTTATAAATGGCCATCAGAACTGACTCAAGAACGCATCGCTCTAAGACTGCGGAGACAGGAGCTCCTCAATCCCTGGGCTTCCTGCACCACAATAAATAGGGTCGATGCGTGTGTGGAGGGCATGATTGATCATACTGGTTGGCCAGGGGAACCCAAAAGGCACTCCTACCCATGCGACTCTCCTTATGCAAGCATCAGCAGCTGGTGGTGGGGTTCTGCACCCCCTCTCAAGGGAGAGGGCAGGGTAACGTCTCAGAAGAGCTACTCGCTGGCTCCAGCCCTCACCTGCGCGCGATTAATTGCCCGTCTCTAGAAGACGAGGCTGAAGGGCCCCAACCCGAACCCATCCCTTCTGGGGTCCAGCTCAGAGGGCAGGCGCTTAGGGCGCAGTGAGCCTCCCTTTGGAGCGAAAGTCGGCTGCCCTGCCGGGATCGGGTGTTTGGTCTGCGGCCCCCAGGCAGAGTTGCGGAGCCACCGAAGATGCTGGGACGCGCCGCGACTTCCGCCTCTGGCGGTCGGCAGTTGGGGGCGCACCAAGACAGCAGTTCGGGAGCTGCGCTTTGTCACCAAGGCGGCAAGGGGCGGGAGGGGAGGAGGGGGAAAGGGCCGCGGGGACCGGACGGGGCGGTCAACCGGCTCCTAGCCCGGAAAGGGACGTTCAGGGAAAGGGCCGCACCTGGCACTCCCAGTGGAGGAGCGGAAGGACAGATTCCAGGTCCGGGCCCAGCCGGTGCGAGCACTCCAGTCCTGGGCCGGTGACACTCTGTCCTCTGGGCCGACATTCCTTCTGCTCTCCCTCCACGACAATGAGCCCTTGATAGCCGGTACCCTCACCCTCCGAAACACTGCGGCAGGCGCCTGCGCACCCGTACTCACTCCCGGCCAGCCGGGAACGCACAGTCCTTCCACGTCGCGGCGCCCTCCGGGCCTTCCTGCTCTTAGCTACCCTTCTCGTTATGCCCCGCTCCTCTGAGACTTACGGTAACAGCGGGAGCGGGCTCCTGCCGGTCGCTCACCCGCTGCCAGGGCCGCAGCTGCATCCGCCCCACCAACCTGAGAAGGGTGGCCTCTGTCCCAATTTTTCAATCATACCCAAGGCGCTGCAGTTGTCTGCGGTTTTAGGGAACACAGTCCTTTGCCCTGGGGGCGTAGCGCTCAAGTCAGAGAGAGAATCTGACTTTCGGAGCCAGACCACTTAGGTTAAAATCCCAGCTCGTCCGCTTCCCTGCTGTGTGACCCTGGGCAAGTTCTTCAGCCTCTCTGAGAGTCAGTTTTCCCGCTGCGTAACGGGAAAAACTACCCCATCGGGGTTCCGGGAAGCTCAATAGGAGGAAGGGACTAGTCTGGGTCAGGACTATAAAAATCAGTCCCCAGAACTCCTCACACAAAGGTTTTTCCATTTCGCGGGCGGGAGAGGCTTAGCTCGCCCAACCGGTTGGACTTCCTCGTCTGGGGGCGGTTCTCCTACCCAGCACCCGGGAGACACTCCCCGGGTCGCCGTCCGGCGCCACGGCGTCTCCGGGCCCGGAGAGGCCGAGCGGGAAGAGAGGAAGGGGCTGCGGCCTCCTCCTTGGCCCGAGGACCAGGAGAGGGACATCGGTCACTGAGCACACAGAAACTGACTCAGAGAGAGAGACCCGGGAGGGATCATTTAGGGCCATTTAGGTCTAGTTAAGTGTAGATGGGGGATCCCACCGGGTAACGACTCCACTCAGGGGGGTCCTGATCCCCTAGTTGGACCACCCTAATGGCGCGGCAGTGGGCGGGTTCCCTCTTCCAGCGCCAGGGTGCGAGGGGGGGGGGCTCCACTGGGGAGGGAGCAGGGCTGTCAGGCTCCTCTGGCCTTTGGGCAGCCCAGCGCTTGGAAAAGGTTTGTGCCCAGAGAAAATCTATTAAAAACAAACTCGAAAACCTACTCACCCCGCTGCCCCTCCCCACGGGGGAAGGAAACCGTGGTATATGGGACTCCATGATAACCAGGGGCCAGTTCCTCGCCCTCCAGATCCCCCTTACCACATGAGAAGGTCAGCCCAAACCAAGTCCTGCTTTTTACAAAAGAAGCCCCAGCTTGGACATCATCTTCTCTCCAGATGCATCTCCAGGGCCTAGGTTTTGAATGGAGGCATGTGCAGAGTCTGGAGGAAATGCTCAGGTCAGGATGCAATGTGGGGAGGCCAGACCCTCAGATTCTGACCCATGGGCCAATCAATCCTGGAGGACAGTTTGAGGGAGGCAGCCACAGCACAAGGGAAAACACCCTGATAAAACCATGCCTGCTATCAAAGGGATCAGGCAATTGTGCCTAGGGTTTGGTGGCTCTACGAGGGATGTAGGGGGTAGGGGAATCTCAGAAACTGAAGGCTAACTTTGGTGCCTCTGTGCGTTTTTCTGGGGAGATGTTCACTGGATATGCAAAAAGGCCATGACTCCCAAGAGGTTAAAACTGGCTGGGCAACCCTGGTGAGTTTTGCCCCTTTCCAGATGGGTGCTCAGGACCTCAGTGGATTGTGATGCTCAAAGAGAGATGACTTTGCCTCTTTGGGTTTCCAGAATCAGCTGCTGCAGTGACATTCCTGCTATTTTGGAACTCAGGCCCTGAAGGCTCTTCCCACCTGCTCCAACCTCCCTCCAGGCCCCTGCGCAATCCCCGCCAGCTTCTGATCCTGGCCTTAAAGCGGGGCAAAGCCTGGAGGCCTTCTCTGGGACATGTCTCCAAATGGTTTTGGGCCATTTTTTTCTTTACTCTCCTTCATGTCCAAAGTGAGTAGGGAGAGGTTAGTTGCTCGCACCCCCTCTCCCCTTCTCCTAACCCCTGTGGATTCCTCTGGGACTGAGGAGGAGGAGAAAAGGCCTTGGCAAAAACCACATGTTTTTAGAAAGGCTCAGAATGCAATGCCTGGCACTTTCTAATAGCTCCAGTTGTTGTGAGTAGACTTGAACCTAGAGGGATGGGGGTTGAGTCCTGACTCCGTCATTTATACATGAGCCTCCTCTCTGTGCTTCAGATAAATCAGCTACAAAATAGGGATGATTGGTAATATCTTCCTCAGGCCTGTTGTGAGGATGCAACGAGCTAATGCAGGTGAAATGCTTAGAACAGTGACTGCTCTTATCACGTGGGGTTCCCAGAATTCCAGAGGGGATTCCTCTGCTTTCCTGGGAAATCATGGGAGAGCATAGGCAGGGTGAGGACAGTCCAGGTGTGTGCTCTCTGGGCCTTCTGCCTCTGAGGGCAGACAGGCACCCTCTTCGAGAGGTGCCTGGACCCACCTAGTTCCCAGAAAGGGCCAGGGGTTTGTAGAGGATTGCCTTATGGAGAGTTAAGGTATTGCTGGGTGTTGAGGCATCTCTTCAGGGGGAGGCACAGGGCCTTGGGAGGAGCACTGCTCCAGGATCTGACACTCAGCCAGGCCATTTGAGTCAAGACCACTGGTCACCCTATCACTGTAGGAGAAAAGGCACTGTGGCTTGTTGAGGCCTTTTAAAGGAGTGTTCTGTGGTTAAATAAGAAATGAGCATCGAGGCACTTTGTAATGGAAGCAAATTTCAGGAGTAATGGCAAAGGAAAAACCCATACCACCTCTGCTAGGGTTGGGGAGGGGGCTGTCTGGACCTTTGGGTTCTCCAGTGTTGGGGGATTGCTGGTTGACCTGAACATGGGCCCTTCCAGTTGGTGGCTTGAGGCAGGGGCAAGCCTTGAGCTTAGGGAGGTCCTTGGGGCTCCAGTCCTGTCCTACATCCTCCAGCTCTGGGGTGGGCAGGAGGTGGGTGTAGGGATATGGGCTACCCAGGCGGTAGTTGGTGGTTGAGGGTGGGGAAGCCACTGGGCTCAGGGCTCAGCCTCTAGGAGCACACTGCACAGGTGTAGTGGCAAGAGCGGACACAGGGCTGGCTTCGTCGGAGGACCTGAGGAGCAGGAGGTGGCAGGGTCCAGAAAGCAGTCAGTTTCCTGTCCCAGGCACCTGGCCCTTTGCTCGGAGAGAAGAGGGCACTTGTCCAAACCAGAGTTCCAGAAGCCGCAGGTTCTGCCTGCCTGAAGGAGAAACTGTTTCTGTGGTGCCTGCAGCTGGCCTGCACCACCACCGACTCCCCCTGATGGGTGGGTGAGAAGGTGGGGGAAGTGGTCCCAGAGTGATAGCCCGGCCTCCGGGAAGCCCGACCTCTGGGTGTCTGAGATCCAGCGGACCTTTCTCCCGGAGGGGTGCACCCTGCGGTGCCTCTCAGCTCTGGGTTCCCAGACGGGCGTCGGCAGACGCCACCGATGAGAGGGAGACCGACCGCCAGAAGTCCCCTCACCCACCACGATCCCGCCGCGGAGATCCAGCCTCGCGGAAACTTCGACGGCCCCGGCCCTCGCCACACCTTGGAAGATGACCGACTGAGAGCCCAAGATCAATATCCACGACAGCCGGGCGATGCTTATTGTTTAAACAGAAGCTCCCTTTGTTCTTATGTTTTACCAAAATGAGAAGCAAGAACAATTTTTTCCTGATCAAAATTTTTCTGGCACACAAGCGGCCAAATCATCTCACGAAACCCCGTGCCCCTGTCTCAGATGTCCTCTCCCTTTCCTCTCTGCCAGGATGCGTGCTTGCGGCTGGGAGGCCCCGCATCTGGCTGGAGAAGGTACTCAGGGTCCCAGACCATCGTACCACCGCGGGATCTGCTGGCCACTGAGGCGTTCCTTACCCCCTGCCGCCGCTCTCCGGAGCGGGGTTTTCTTGGCAAGGAAAGCGGCCCCAGTGGATCAGGGCGGCTGGTAGCCCAGGCCCTGTTTCCGATTCCGTTTAACACAACCGGAGCATCTTATCTCAGCGTGGCCTCCCCGGGGTTCCCATCCACCCCCCGGCCCAGCCCAGCCTGGCGGAAGCAGAGCCGGGAGCTTTTGAAGTCCGGAGAATTTCAATTCAAGAGGAGCCGGCTGGACCTAAACGCGTCAGCCCAGCGGGGGAGGGGACAGCAGGACCGCGGGGGGAGGAGGTCCTCCCCTCTGAGGGAGGTGAGAAGCAGTAGGGGCCTGGGCCGGACCCCACTTAGGCTGCTATCATCGCCTCTCCGCTTTTACGAGGTTGTCCAGGCCTTGTGGGAGCGAGCTTCGCTCCCTCTGCGAATTTACCTTCCTTCTCGAGCGGTGTCGGGGATAACCTACACGATACGGTAATAACCACGCTATTAAAATACCCCACCCCATAAACAAACAAAAAAAGAAACAGTGTTCTTATCCAGTCCTCTTCTGTTTTCTTCTTCCTTTTGTTAAAAATCTGACCTCTTTCCCTCTGATGTTAACGAAAGGATGGTTTTGGAAGAAGTGACATTCGTTTAAAAAACACTTTTTTTCCTCCTGCGCCAGGGGGTGTCGTAGACTCCTAAAGACCTGGGAAATTGAGGCTGCTTTGAAAGGGCTGAGGGGCCGGGAGAGGGGTAGGGTGGGAGTCGGGCTGAGCGGGGGCGTCCCTGAAGCTTCAGATCTGTAGCCCAGAGGAGGCAGCCCCTCTCCCGGAGAGGCCGAGCCCCGGCTTTAGCCTCCTTCCGCCCCGGGAGGCAAGGGGAAGCCCCACTCGGTTGGGCCGAACCCAGGAAGGAGACGTAACTGGCAGGTCTTGATTTCTCAATCCTCCTCCGCTTTCATCTCGCAGGGAAAACCCAGAGGACAAGAGGATCAAACGCAGAGCACTCTCATTGAATGCAAAGCTGGGGGCGGGGCGGAGGAGCCTGGAGTCCCTCTGTGGACCCGGCCCCACGGAGGTGAGCGCAGCGGGGCGGCTGTGAGAAGGTGGCAGGGTTGGGGGGGGGAGGAGAAGGTGGGCGAGACCCAGGCCCAGTGCGGGAAGGGCCCAACCGAGGGTGGGCGACCGTGGCAGCTCTAACGCAGACGCTGGGGGCTGGACTTTTATAGGAAGAAGAGAGAAGCCAGGTGCTCCCTCAAGTTCTGGCTGCTGGCTGGGAAGGGCAGGGCTGACAGGGTCCTAGATCAGCTCTGCACTGCAGCAAAAGGCTCTGGGATACCCTCAACCACTCCTCTCGCCTTTAAAATATTCCCCAGGGTTTTTGGGTTAACAGTACTCAGCAGATGGTGGTTCTGAGCATCCCAGGAAGTGGAGATGATTATGTGGACATTACCTTCAGGATCCTCCTGCCCTCCCCCCTCCCCCAGGAGAGGTTGATGAGCATCTTCTTATGAAATAGGGAGACAAGTGGAAAGCAGGAGTCAGACGGGAACTTTCATCTCTCCCTGAACCCCTAGCTTTTTCTGCCACTCCATAAGCCCACAGATGGGAAGACTGAGGCAGAGGGACAGGGAGAAGAGTAGAGAAAGAGAAAAAGGAGGAGGACAGAAAGGTAGGCGATAGAGAGAAGGCAGAAAATACAATGATAGAGGGATTTTTCTTTAGAAAAGT